AGGGATATTCGGCCTGGGCACGATGGAATGGCCTCCATTCCCCTTTGAGTCATGCTCTGGCTCAGCACTGTTCAATAACCAGGGCTGATCTTATGTGATCTTAGAAGGACACCACCAAATCCTGAGGATTAAACAAACCACAGGAAAATACCAACTGTTTTCCTCAAAATGGTTAAGGGTTACAACTACTGGGCAAAGGGGGTGGTCACAGAATGCAACACCCTAAGCTCTGCAGGTCAACTGAAATAGAAAGCTCAGAGGCTTCAGATGGCAAGTGATGCTTCTGTCAGACGTACATGGCAATACATTCTCCCAGACTCAAAGATCACTCTGTTCCAAGGCTCATATGTAGAACTTATCCTGACCTTTCAGTGACAATCTGTTTAGTAGAGGCAGGATAATTTAAAAATAAAAATTAATGTTTATACAGATGAATCTTTCTTTGCAAGCTGACACTGAAGCAAAGTGTAGCATGCCAATAAAACTTCCTTAACAGGGACAACTGGTAATGTTACAGAAAAATCCCTACAAGCCTTCCCTAATATTTACTTCTAAAAAGTTCTAACAAGTGGGTCACTTAGTAACTCTATTTTGGGGGTATCTAAACCATTTATTAAATTAGCTGACTTGAGATTAAATTTGTTTTACAGAGAAATTTTGGCTACTATTCTTTGAAAAAAGTTATTTGAAACATTTTACTATCTAAGTTCAGCTCAAGGATCAAATCAGGCACCTGTCACTTCTCTCTGCCACTGACATGCTGAGTGGGTTTGGAAGATTAAAACAAACATCTTCCCATACAACAAACCATACCTGATAGGGACTCTTGTTCTGAAAATAAAGCAAAGTGCAGATTAGCGTGGTTGTTTTTACCAAATCTGCTTTACTTGAAGAATGATTTAATGTCATTCAGTAAGTAGAGTGAATAAGACAGAAGTAAATTAAGATGGGAAGATTAGATAATAAAAATAAAATATTACCTAACCCCGACTAAACAATATCTCTGTATTAAGCAATGTCACTGTATTTAATAGTATGTTTCAGCTAAGTACTGTTATTCCTGTTTTACAAATGAAGAAACCAAGCACAGAGTATTAAATAACTTGCATAAAAAAACCCAGCTGAGCTGGCATTCAAACCTGTGGCTTGACACCAGGGCTGAAACTCCCCAACGATTAAGACTGAAGCAGCAAGAACTGGTCTGGGTTCTAGTCCTGGTTCTGCTATAAACTCTGAACAGCATATTTAAATCATTTTATTTCTCTGTATCTTATTTTGTGAAATTTGAAGGTATACGGCATATCTCTAAGGTTTCTACTAACATCAAAACTATGATAGGTTAAATGTTAAAATTAGTGCCCTTTTGGTTTAACAATGGAGACGGAGGTCTCAATGTTATCCAGGCTGGACTTGAACTCCTGGGATCAAGGGATCCTTTGGCTCCAGTCTCCCAAGTAGCTGGGATTACAGGTACATGCCACTGTGCTGGGCTTCAAAAATGGAAAATTTGACACATCTGGACTAGGATGGTACCACCAGACACCAACAGATGAAAAGGGATAAATTTAATTTTTATCATCTGAAATACCTTTTATGTATGGATTTCAATTTTACTTTATTTATACACTTTAACTGTTCCTGAATTAAATTTTAGTGCCTTCAACAAAGTAAAGCTTTTCCTGGTAACTAACACTAGAGCCTTTTAAAGCCAATCTTAACATTCCCTTTGTGCTTTGCAGCAAATAATGTGAAACAAATCCCTTTTCTCAGAAAGCAATCTCCTTTTGAAACCTCTGTCAGAGTAAAAAGGAAAAGAAAATACACACAATGCATGTATACACACTATTTTATCTATGCATGTGTATACATATATGTATATATGTATCTCTGGTGTGACTTGTGAATAAGCCTCACAAAACAACCCAAGAGATAAATTTCTCTAATTCTAACAGCAGACATCCTCTTTTCTGCTCTATTAAAAACAAAGAACATCTTTCAATAATTCATAGGATGCAGAAATTCAGGAGAAACAATCTAAGACAAACGTAAAAAAACCCTCCACAGCAGAGACTGATGAAAACACAAAGAGCCCTGCAATATGCCTCCTCTTACCCTTTCAATGCACACCTTTCAATCTTTCTCCCTTATGCATATGAAAGGATAAAAAGCATGGCCTCACTATTCAATATACAACACACTTCAAGTAAGAAAAGAAACTCTTTTCTTCAATGTTTCTCTGCAATAGATTGAGTATTCTGAATCTGAAAACCCAAAATCTGAAATGCTCTAAAATCTGAAACTTTCTGAGTGGCAACAGGATGCTCAAATTTGCTCACCAGAACATTTTGGATTTTCGGTTTAGGAATGCTCAACCATTAAGTATAATACAAACATTCCCAAATCCAAAAAACACCCTGAAATATAAAATTTGATCCCAAACACTGTGTTGTCTTTACCAAAACTATTTTCCTCTGGTCATATTCAATCCTGACAAACCTAGTCAAAAGAATGAGGGGAAGTTGCTGTCATTTTCTCTGTAATAAAGGCAGGCACCATGATTCTTACCAAGTACAGACAGGTATCTGGATACCACAAACAAAAGCCACATTGAATTACATGGGCTGCTCTAAACTTTATTCCATTCCTAATCCCACTGCCAAAGCGCTCATCTTCCTCATTCAACAGCTGGTGTGCTGCTCAGTTTATCAGTCAGAATTCTGAAAAGGTAGAACTGGAATGACATATTTTTAAAACTAAGGTACTCTAAGACTTCAACTTTAGAAATGTTAACCACATTTCTTCATGCAAGAATTATCATCTGAGTTTGTATCCTTGATAAATATGCTTTCTCTGATCCTAATAGCCTATATTAATGGCCCCGAACACCACCAAGTCTTCCCTTTTCTGTTATGTTCTACTGAAGAGGATTTATCTCAACCCTTTTCAGAACAGCTTAGGGTTGCACTTCTGTCTTCCAAACATCTTCACTGAACAGGGAGACTAAGTCCTGTCTGCAAACTGACACCCATGACTTGCTCTGGAAACAGGCTGATCAATGGCTAACAGGGCAAGGCATGACTAAGGGGGTGCTCAATACTAGAAACTGCTAGGGAGTGGGTATGAAGAGCAGGGGAAAGCAAGCCTCCATGCGTGTGACCGTGGTCACCCACCAACACTGCTTACCGAGGGGCATGCCTTGGATGGTCTCTCTATAAGAAAATATGCCCCTTTCCACGGTGGATCTCTGCTCACCTTTGTCCTAAAACTGTGCCACATGCTTTTCTTTGTATGTGGACATGACAGTCCTCAGCCAACCATCAGCAGGATGTGAGTTTTGTTTTCACAATGTGGTGAGCCATTCCCACATTCACTCATTTTCCTTGTAAGAACCGAACCTCTCCATGGCTGGTCAGGATTAGGGATGTTGCTGTAGCCAAGGAAAAATTTTCATCTGTTGAAGTTAACCCATGGGGTGGCTTGAACCCTCAATCTAGAGTCAGTAGCACTGTGTACTTTAAGGGCAAAGCCCTTAAATCTACCCTGAAAGAAATGGCATTCAGTGAATAGGAATCAAACAGCTTTCTTTCAAAGCACTTAGTGATGTCCTATGCCTCAGCCAACTTGGGTCTTGTGAGGTAAAAAGTTAGGACACATTGATAGGACAGTACTAAAAAACAGTAATTCTTGCTGTCTGTATAAAGTGCTTGGCAAACTGTAGAAAGACACTTCTGCAACCAACTCTAGTGCTCAGATGAGGCCAACTCAGAGAAAAGCTTGTGAATGAGAACAGTGTAACTGCCTCGATTCCAAAGGTCTGCAACATTCCAGGGAACCAGCGATCAGGCCCTCACAGAGGAATTAACCAATGTCACATTTACTGCTCAGGATCAGTGATTATGGTTGCAATTTGACTTTCCCAGCCAACAGAGGGTTGTTTACAACCCACAACTAAAAGCTGCTAGATGAAATGGGTTCCTGAGATCCTTTCCTTTCTTGAGACAGGAAGGAGGCTGCTCTGGGCATTGTGGCCTCTCTTTCTTTAGTCTCAGAGGAGGGAGGGCCATCAAGGCCACCCGGAGGAGGTGGATGACTTACCCGTGCTCACTGAGTGGCAGAGCTGGGGTGCGACTTCAGGGCTCACCATTACCCAGTCTGGGGCTCTTTTCACGTCGGCAAACTGGCAGTTCCCGCACACCAAGAGCTCTCTGATTAGAGCTAGTGTGGATTCCTGGTCTGCAAACGTTGGCCACAGCTCAGTCTGCACTTGATCTTTCCCCACCTTCAAAGAAGAAAACCTACCTCATGATTTCTCTCTTCCGGATCCCTTGACCATCTAATTTGCTCCCAATACCTTTGCAATCACTTCTGACTACTCCTTATTGGTTACCCACTAGGTCTATCGCCAAAATTCTGCAGTTTTCTCATTTGCTGTCTCTACCATTTGGATTTACAAAATTCTAGGCTAGGGCTATTTTTACTTAGTCAACTTGTCTTTTGCATTGTATCGGGGAAAGTCAGCTGCTAAATCATTTTTTGTTTAGAGGTCTATAATGACTCCTAAGTATCTTTATGTCACTCTCCATACTTGGAACACCTTGATTATACAAATCGATCTATCTTCTTTCATATGCTTGAGAATCACCTCTTTCATGAAGCCTGAGAAACCTGCCTATTCCAATTATTTTAGGACTTTCTTTAGCTCTATCACTTTTATTCAATTTTGTTTTACATGCCTATGTTTCTGTAGCTTTTTAAGCCTTGTTTTTACCTTTGTGCTTAATTTCTCATTTGATTATGAGCTCTTTACTAAGAACAAGAAAGGCTAGTATATGTTGGCTATTTAGCACAGTGCCTGGCACAGTAAGTAATTTATCCATAATGTTTCATTCGTTTATTAAATGTAAAGAATGTATTATTCTTCTTCCCATTTTATAATGAGAAACTGAGGCTTGTGAGGCTAAGCAACTTGCTCGTTGTCACGGAGCTCTTGAGTGGAGGAGCTAGATTTGAACCCAGACCCACGACTCTAAAAACCCCAGCTCTAAACCACAAGGTTCCACTGCCTTTTTTCTTTATTTTAAAACATAGTCTCGGTCTGTTGCCCAGGCTAGAGTGCAGTGGTGCAATCTTTGCTCACTGCAACCTTCAACTCTGGTCTCAAGTGATTCTTGTACCTCAGCCTCCAGAGTGGCTGGGACTACAGGTCTGCATTACCATGCCTGGCTAATTTTTTTTTTTTAAGGAGAGACAGAGCTTCACCATGTTGCCCAGGGTGGTCTTGGAACTCCTGAGCTCAGGTAATCCACCTGCCTGGGCCTCCTAAAGTGCTAGGATTATAGGTGTGAGCTACCATGCCCGGCCTTCTACTCCATTTTAAATGCAGATGCTTCTCTCCCGGTCCTGTGTAGCTGCTGCTTGATTTAATGATACTCTAACCTCAGATAAGTCAGGCTATAGTGAAGGTTTTTGATATAATGGGGTGAAGTCTCCAGAGAAAAAAGAAATTGACCTTGGGGCAGGGTGAAGCACCTCTAAGCTGGGGGTATGTGACAACCAGGTTACTTTCACTCGTCTTTTGGTTCCCATTAGCCAGTGTCAGCCATCTGGTCCTTCCGAAAACATGTGTGGGTTCAGAACATAACAGACTAGAAGAATAGAGGAAAAATAAGATTATTCTGTGCAATCCCCATTCTGGAGGTCCCATATCAACCCCTGGAGTCTGTCTTTGGTTCTAGGCTCAGCAAAAATTAGACCTGCATAAAGATGAAGAGTTGGACCTAGATGTGGTGGATGTGAATGAATATTGGCAATATTATGTATTGAGGAATTTATTTAATTAGTTTTGCAAGGAATGGTGACTGGAACCAAAAAAATACAAGTGTGAATGGCAGGGGGGAAATGGGCCAGAAATCAAATACTAGGAAGTTTACAGACTTTCAACTACACAAGCAGCAACCAGAAAAGTACTATGCAGATGATAAGCATCTAAGAGCTGATTTAATTTTCAACTATAAACTATTATTAACATGATTACTCCAGCCTACTAGGCCTCTTCTTCAAATTTCTTTGCAACAGTAACTACTTCTATTTCTGAATGTTTAACTATGTATAAAGCATTATGCTAAGTGCTTTATACACATTATATCCATTTAATTTTCACAACTCTGAGGTTTACTGTCATCCGACAGGCCAAGAAACTAACTTAGAGCAGTTGAGTAACTTGACAAGGCTACCTCAAACACCTGGGATTTCTCAAACCCAGGTAACCTAAAACCTGCATTCTATCATCACATCCTAACTGCTTCCTATACACCAATGAAAAGAAGTGGTCCATAAAACCAGAGTTGGAGAAATACAAGTTCTTGCACAGAAAATCAGTTTCATCAAATTATGTGCTGTAGTGTGAAAAGACAAATGCCCATAGGAACATAAGCCCACAGGAACATATGAGAAATAGTAAATGGCAAGAAAATACCATTTCTGCATCTGATGTGTGCTAATACCAGTAAATTGTGAACATTTATTCTCTATAAGTGGAACTAAACCTATACGCTATCAAAATTTTAACACTAGTCTAGAAAAATAGAAAAAGGTAACAAATCATTAAGAAACTTGTATTTTGGCAATGAGAACACAAACATATCAGTGGGAAAATTAAACTCATGATCCCTTCTCATAAAGTAAACCAATTGTTGGAAAAAGCCTCTAATGATGAAATAACAAACTCAAGCCCATGGTACTGGGTCCACATTGCAGGTAACCGCTCATCTCTAACAGAATATATATTCACATAGTGGGGTGAGGAAAATAGAATGATCATTATCCTAAAAACCTAACAGTAAAACTAAATCCCCCCAGAATGGGAGGTAGAGAGGAATCTGTATCAAATATGAATTTAGTCTTACTTTGTAACTGCTCTATGAGCCTACTGGCCAACTTTGTTTCAACTATCCAAAACTTTCAAAAATGAACTAAGTCTGCTAAGGCATTTCACTTTTACACTGCAAATAGTGTGTGGATCAAACTATCATTACCCCCTCCAATCATAACTAAACTTACTCTTTCGATATTTTAAAGTCAACATGGCTTTCCTCAAAGGGAGGGCAGATACAATCATCTGTGTCCATTTCAATTTTCTGACACTTATCAACACTAAAGGTAAATGAAAATTAAAAGGTTTCAAAAAAAGGGGATCAACTATTCCCTGATGACACGGGAAAAGTTCATGAAGACTCAACCACAATTAAAAACGATTTCAAAAAACTTGAGAGATGAAAGTCACATTGCCAATTTAGAATTAAACTCTTGGGATTTAAAATACAATTACCGTATTTGTTATTCCTACTTAATGAAATAAAGGTTTACACTCTGCAGACACCACTACCTGATTCCACACCAAAGCTACAAACAAAACCAGTACATACTTACCTTTTCAACAATACAATGAGCAGGTTGCCAGGTGTTAAAGCTTCATAAAGATGATGCCTCTTGGATCATTTTGGCTGTATGAGGCACCATGTCCCTCATAATCGCCCCTGGTCCCTGGGCTGGAGTCTGTTTCTTCATTTTCATTTTTGGTTAAAGATGCCACTCCCTATGCTTTTATTAGTGGATGCCACTAATTGAATATTTTAATGAATTTTTCAAATTCTTTTAAAATGGATGAATCAATAGCTTCATTTCAATTACATGAAAACCTTTCCAAGTCCAGCTTCATTTCAATTACATGAAAACCTTTCCAAATCCATGCTCTGGTCTGTGGTTCCTGACTCCCTTGCCTGAGCCTCCTGATCTGCCCTCTTCATTCCTGAAGGCTGAATTCAACCTCCCTCTTTCAGACTTCCTCTTCACTGTAGGTCTTGGAGGTCTTTATGAATGTCCCCTTTCTGGCATAAAAGCCTAAATCCATGGTTGGGGACCTGGGAGAAATAATAGCAAGTGCCTTTCAAGTGCTTCTTCAGGCATTAAATGCAGTTCAGAAATCTTTTGCCTGGGAGACTTTCATCTCAACACACAGGAAAGTCAAATAAAACATTTCCTCAAACTATGAGCATACGAATTCAAAGCATAATCTAATCCCTCACCTTCAGAATACTCCAAGACCAGATGGCCTAAGGAATGACAATAGGGCAGAGACATTTATTGGTACAAATCCTCCCTCAACCAACCACGATAAAGCTGATACCATCTTACAGCTTTTCAAAGACTAGCCTGAAGAGGAGAATCAATAAATCTCCAGCTAAGGACAACATCATAAAAAGTACCATCTGTCTCACTTTTGGCAGTAACTTGTCGGCTTGCTGGAAGCCTCTACAGGGACTAAAGGCTGAACAGGCCAGGAAACCTGAACTACCCTCTCAACCTTGGAGGCAAGTCCCTAAAGGACAGGACTAAAGGATATAGCATCAGGGAAGCTTTGACAGCCAATGCCCATGGTATATCTGATACGTGAATTTTAAAAATCTTCTATTTCCAGACTTGTAAATAACTCACTGTGTAACCTTGGGCCAGTCACCTTATCACCCCATGCCTCTTTTTCCCCATCAGTACAAACTAGGGACAACACTTGTTTATAAAGTGCTTTGACATACTCAGTTGAAAAATAAACCATACAAATGCATTATGATTTTCAAAAGTTTTAAGATTTCAGTGTTAGCTTACATATTTATAAATATCACCCCAATGGTATTCTCTCAGATGCCTGAAGCACCTTTCTTCTGAGGAGCACAAAGTACAATTTGGGGTTCTGGGTACCTAGAAGCATCAAAAAAATCCTACAAACCCAAACCACATTTTATTACCCAGTCTATATCCTGTGCCTATCTTTTAAGAAAGGATAAATACTTCTCATGGCCCTTTAATTCATATATTTCAATGAGAAAGGGAGAAGCAAAATAGTATATTAAACTGAACAATAGGAGTTATAAAATTACTTAGTCAAATAATTACAAATGATGTTTATTCATACCACAAACTGAAGGAACCAAGAACCAAGGTTGAACCAGGGCAATTTATACTAGTAACATTTGGTCAAAAATCTCAATATAGTATAATCTCTTGGCATTGATTTTTCAAAATGACAGAAAAAAATTCCCCAATGTCTTGGGGTAAAAAAGTAATACTTTTTT